CACACTCCGCTACCTCTCCCTATTCTTCTCTCTTTACTACGACGGGCGTCTTGGATGTTCTTTGCCAGTGGCCCACAGCTTTGAAGGAATGCGAAAATCTCTGTAGAACATTCACACGATACAATTCATACATTTGGATATCGCGACTTGATCTACCTCTGGGACGGGAGAATTAATTCCGAGATTCTGCGAATTTGTGAAAAATTCCATCGCGCAGCTACAATGGACACTCTCGTGGAATATTTTATATCGCGCTGAATTCATAAAAAAAAATATGTAAGAAAAATATTTAAAATCATGATTTCTTGGTGGTGTAAAGTAAATCATGTAAGAGACTGTATAAAGTAATTGGCGGAGCGTCTTGGAAACAATGAAAAGCGCAACTTCAACCTGCGCCAGCTGTGCCTACGCGAGCTACTCCATATCGAGCGTAATTATGCGAGCCAGGTTGGCGGGAACTTTTAATTAAGGTCCACCGGCAACAAACCACCCTTAAGAATTTAGCCAGCCCACCGTTCGACGGCGAACAAAGGGATACCCTCCAGCGCAGCTGGGGTAAATAGCCCGAAGAAGTACGAACGTTCTCGCCGAGAGGCCGAGGCTTCGTCGATAGGCGTAATCGGCCGATTAATTAATCCGGTCAAGCGGTCAAGCCCAATTAAATCCCACCCCGAGCCGATCGGCGCGGTGCTCGAGAGGAGCGCGACGGCGATCGGGGCAATCTCGACGTAGACGAGTTTCTTCGCGGGGGGGAGGGGGAAACTTGGCTCGCGAGATGTGCCTAATCCCTTTGCTCGCTCCTTTGGCCTTCTCCACCGCCGGAAGCGCGAGGGAATCGCTTTGGAAAACAAAGTTTCTCCCGGCTTTCCATTCGCTGCTTCCCCATACCCATCGCCATCCGTCGCTTTCGCGCTCCTCTGCGCCCCGCCGAGCACGGAAGCGTCCCCGAGAGCCAAGCAGCCGGTGCACCCTCCTTCCCACGGGATATTAATTTTTCGGGAAGTTGCCGCCGTGCCGTTCCTCCTCCCTTCCCTCCCGCGATCCGTCTGTCACCCTCTCTTTCTCGCTATTTTTTTCGCGCAATGCTTCGTTTTTCCGTGACGATTTGGATCCGGCACGATTCTGAGAATCTTTCTCCGCATTTCTAACCCTTAACTAGCGAGATTATCTTCTGATTATCTGAAGTTTCTAACTGATTTGGAGAAAAAAAAAAATGTTTCGATAAGTAATATCGAAGTATCGATTTTTAATTTATAAATTGACCTATCAAAAGCTTGTGAAATGTTCTATTAAGATTTATGTTTAAGTTATTAAATTTGTTCGCTATGTTCAATCTTTTCCGCAAGGAAAATCCTAGATAATCCGTTGGCTCGCGTTATCGAAACGAAAAATTTATCTTCATAATTTTTTCACCACTCAATTACATTGTATAAATGGATAAATGGATTAGCCTTGGTAGTATCGAGTGGATATTTTGCCAGTTCTCTTGGTAATCGCATAATTTGTTCCGCACGTTTTAGCAACATGAAACGTTGATAGAGGGAAGATTAACTTACACAATTTAGCGAGAACATAATACGTATCGACATCTCTATCGGCAGAGGTCTACACTCCTCTTTAATTTCACGCAAAATGTTGCTGTCAACTTTACCGAAACAATCATTTCGAATGACAAAATAAAATGGACAATCTTTTCGTGAAGCAAACATTTGAAACAAATTAAATAATCCAAATAAATTACTTCCATCTAATACATATATTATATTATTATTCTAGTATCTTTCTAACAGACACCTTTCGCTATCGACACCTGTTCGCATAGCAGTTCCCAGAGAAAAAGTCGTAGAAGACCGCGAATAGTCTGGAGCTGATCCGCGAACAAAGATTCCAGGAGCGCAGCCATAAGAGACGCTAATAATTTCGGAGCACCTGAACAGAGCCGCGATGGAAAAGACAGAGATGCAGGGGAACGTCAATAAAAAGTGAATTGGAGAAGGAGCGAGAACAAAGAGGGACAGACCGCGAGAGCGGGAGGGTAGGGTAAACGCTAAGAAAAGACGCTGGGGGTCACGCCAAGGGCCCCCGTGGTGGTACACGTCGATCCGCGCGTCTACGAGGGTAACTTTCTCGCGGTTCTCGTGCGGTTACGGGGGAAAACGATGATGGCGACTCGTGCGTACCTTCGCGTGTATGTGGACACACACCGCGGGCCGTCCGTTTGTTCAGTCGGTTTGTACGGGTTAAGAAAATAGCGGGAGGCCCCCGCGGTGCTCTGGGAACGTCGCCAAGCTAATGTCCTCCTCGAGTTCTCAGGACTCTCAGGAGAGAAGAAACACGGGGATATAGCCAGTTCAAAATAGTTAGCGACAGAATATTTGCACATCGTGATTTTGCACGGCAGTGCAATAAAGTTGGGCGCTATTTCATGAATGACAAATATTTCACTTTGATAACTTTTTCTCTGTCTTCCTTTATATCACGATAGAAGTAAAAAAAAATGCGAAACTATGAAAATTATTGTCCGCACAAATTTTACTCTTAACACCCTGGAAATAAGACTATCCTTCTGCTGTTCTAGGTTGCTTTTTTTAATGTCAGATACTTTAAAGGTATCAGGTTTTTTTCTGACTTGTTATACAATAGAACAGTTTGGTTTGACGTTGACTGCGACAGCTATTTATTGCTATAATTCTTCACGATATTCCGTTTACAAGTTTTCTCGCTCTCCAAGCCTGTTTTTTTTTTACTCGAGGATTCTTCGCGTGACCCCACGCGGCGCGGAGGGTTGCAAAGACAACAATAAAAAAATGGAAGAGTAGCGGAACACAGAGGAAGAACGCGTGTGTGCTTCTATATACGCGCTACCACTGACGGTGATTGAAGATCCCCCGTCGACACAAGCACGTCGAACTCTTTTCGGCTCTTTCGAAGTCGGCACCTGCTTTCGCTCGATCGCAACGACAACGACGACGGCGACGACGTCAGCCTTTGTGATCCTTATTCCTTGTGTCGGCGTATCCCTTCGTAGTTTTACAAGCTGCATATATCGGGAATACGCACACCCATGAATACACGCGTGAACACGTGCGTATGCGTGTGCGTGCGTTGCCTGCATGTAGCGGCGACGAATGAACGCATTGCGTCACAGAGCATGTCGATATTGAATCGGGAAGGGGGGTACCGAAAACAATGAGGCGCGCTATAACGAGAGAGAAGTCGCTCTTTGATTAATATCGCTGAATTAACAGGAATTTCAAAGAAGGGAGCACGATGTCCGTGGAGCCAACTGGTAAATGAATCATGAAAAATTGATCGCGTATATCGGCCGTTGATTGAAATAATAATCAAATAAGTCTATAAAATTAATGATTTGGCTTTAAAAACTCTAAATTTACACTAATATTTTTATTCGTAACTTTATACGTATTTTGTTTATTATTAATTTTATTAATTATAATTTTGTAATGCGATAAAATATATAATTATATTATACATGTACAAATATATTTTTTACTTTAGAGTAATGTTTGCAGTTAATTGCTGCGATAAGAGGTATTCGGACTGAAGAAATTAAAAAAAAAATTGTTTCTCAAAATGAGCAGAGTGTGACCGTTCGTATTAGGTCGATCGCGAAATGGAATCATATGAAATTCAGCACGCATAAAGACTATAATTCAAGCGACGGGTAGAGCGCGATAAGTGACTTCGCAATGTTGAGGCATTATGCAACACCGTAGGTGATTGATCGGCGAGCTACAATCTTACGTAATTCATTGTTCGTCAACTACGTATAACCACAAGCCGATATATTTTTCTCTCATTTCCATGATTTGTGTAATATTATTTTATACGAAATCTGACAAACGAATCAAATTTTCTTTCAATAGCAAGTTCTTCTTTTGATCATTTGAAATGAGGCGTGTGTGAAGTTAGCACCCTAACATAAAAATTTCAATAGTTCTGATTATAGTTCTCGCTTCATTTTGAAGAAACAAAGAATTCTCTGTAGTTTATAACAAGTGTTTTAAGCAACTTTTAATTTAAGTAAAAAATGAGATGTTAATTTCCTATCAAAATTCATGAATTAAAAATTGTTATTAAGTAGAACTTTTTTTATAAACTATAGGGAATTCTCCGTTTCTTCAAAATAAAGCAGGGTGCTAACTTCATACATATTGAAATGAGTTTTAATTTAATAAAAATTTAATAGAGTGCTATTATTAATAACACGAGATTTCTCATTTAATTTAACCAAATAGCAATTGTAATAAAATTCTACATCGAGTATTTAAATAAATATTATTATTTTTTACTGAGTAGAAATTCTCTGTTTATATGTCCACCATTCTATATTTTTATAAAATGATTAAAGTCATATATTTTTTAAATATTTTACTGTGATAAATATTTATAGAAATGCTCTTTCTCTCTCTCTCTCTCTCTCTCTCTCTCTCTCTCTACACATACATACATATATATACATATGTGTGTCTTTTTGTAGTTTTATAAAATATAATTAAAGTTTTCATATTTATTAAATCTTTTACTGTCTGATAAATACTTATAGCATTTTGTCAACTTTCGAGTTGACGGTTTTAACATTTTCGTAAACCTATATGCAAACATATCCAATGTTATGCGTGCATATATGTGCGTTTATTTAG